GTCGTCCCAGAAGGAAGCCTCTTCTAAAGATGATGCACAAGAAAGCCCGCAAACAGTTTGCTGAAGACAAGCAGACTAAGGACATGGATTACTGGAACCATGTCCTGTGGTCTGATGCGACCAAGATAAACTTATTTGGTTCAGATGGTGTCAAGCGTGTGTGACGGCAACCAGGTGAGGAGTACAAAGACAAGTGTGTCTTGCCTGCAGTCAAGCATGGTGGTGGGAGTGTCATGGTCTGGGGCTGCATGAGTGCTGCCGGCACTGGGGAGCTACAGTTTCACTTTCCAGTGATGTCTGTGAGAAAGGGATATTCACTCGACAAGCTCGCGCATCTATGCCGCCGCACGCTCAATCCACTCAGCGTGCTTTGCTTACCAGCTGGCGCAAATCAGCTATACAGGCATTAATACTGAATGTTTTATATTCATTGCATACATATACTTCGTAGACATCCTTAATCTCTAATAACTCCATTCTGCTGTCTGTTGTTAGTGTTTCTTTGTCTGAATATGGCACTTATCACATGCTGTGTGGTATCAGCGTTTGGTATCGGGGCATTTTAACGAGTACGAGTACAGGAGCTCAGTATCGGGCTGGTATCGGTGCATCCCTAGCAAATAGCCTCTGCCAACAAGGCGGGCTATTTGCACTTGTAAATAGACACTCCGTTTTTTATTTGTTAACTGATGTTCAGCTGTTCTTTTTAAGTCAACTTATTTTCGGGTCAGCGTCATAAAAGCCTAGTAAACTTTGTCACAGGCACGAAGATACATCTTTCATTTCATCAAGCTGAATGTTCACTAAAAACTGACACAGTCATCATGTTTTCAAGTCATTTCATGTTTCATTTTGATGTGACACAAATAGCGGTTATGGATCGTAGTTGATCCGTGATCCGTACGGACCATGCAACACGGTTCGGCACGCATGTGATTCGCGGATTAATTGCAAAATGTAACCATAATAGAGTATAAGTTTATCATTTGTTCGTATTTACAGTTTTACACATATTTGCACAGCGTATTTACACAGCGAATTTTAAACCGTTCCAGAGAGAAAAGGCGAAAGGGAACTCGATTCGTTACTCGCGTGCTGTTCTCTACGTGCACAGCCGCACACACATGAAGCGTACATATGCGTTTCAGATGGTGCCCGAACACCGAACTGAATCCTCTGCTGAATCCTCTGAACAGACACATACACACAAAATTATGACAAAATACCCATCTCAACAATCATTCAGATAAACGCAGTCAGTTATGTCTCAAGTGAATGAAAACAGCTGAGAAAGAAATCGGATGTGATCATTATGGAGGATCCGTGCATCGGGTCTTAAAGGGACAGCGACCTGTAAATACTGCTGCTGTCATTAATGATCATCAAACAACAAAACAGCTGTGATAAAAATCTATATTTTACCGTATTTTATTTGTAACATTCTGTTGTATTTATCTATGCTTGTAATTTGTGTATTTGTTCTTATTTTTACTGGCTGTTCTCTTGTCTCTTTAATCATGTTTAAACTTTCTTAGTTAATCTAGTAGTATTTGCTGTGGTATCAAAGAAGTACTTCGCTTTAAGTAATAAATGGAAAGCAAGTTAAATTGAAATATTTTTATTTTCTTGCTGATCCGAAAAATGATCCGATCCGTGGGTCAAAAACCATAATGTGATCCGAACCGTGAGATTTGTGATCCATTGAACCACTAGACACAAAGCAGTGATATCTAAGCAGGAGAGTTGTTTACTAACTTTATAATTAGTCAATAACGCCATAATTTTCTTCATTCAGGCCGAGAGCTCGCACGAAAACAAGAGGCGGGATTTATCACATGAACCAATCACAACATCCAATCATAACTGCTCATATCCAATTATAGCGCGACGGAGGCATTGCAGGGTTTCCGCGGGTCTTAAAGTCTTAAGTCTTAAATTTAGTTGTATCAAATTTAAGGCCTTAAAAAGTCTTAAATTGTACAAGAAAGTCTTAATTATGATTTCAAGAGGTCTTAAATTTGGGGACGGAAAGACCAGAATTGCGATATGGCTGAATGTGACGATTAAACTTCAAAAGGCTAATGTTATGATTTCATGAAATAAACATGAGCACTACACGTTCAAAGTCCAGTGCTGCGCTGCTTTGTGTTCTGACATTACCGGGGAAACAGTTATATTTCTACCAAACGCTCCACCTGCTGTCAGAGAATGAATGAGCATTTTCAATAAAACTGTTGTTTTGTTCAGAGTTCAGACCAATGCAAAATCGACCCATGTTTTTACCCTGCAAACACGCTTTAAATGTGAACTGGTGGATAGATAAGAAGACAATGCATTATAAAAATCGAATAGGGGTGTGCGATATGCAAGGTCTGCGATAATATCGTAATTGTTGTTTTAAGGATGTGCGATTTGATATTATCTAGTATGTCGCGAAAAGCAAACAAAACACCTAGCAGGTTAGACTAGTGTGTGTGTGCATTTATAGTGCGTTCTTTCACTGCATGAATCAGTCTATTAATGCATTTAGAAATATGTAATTGAAGATATGGGGCAGAAAATGTATATATTTATATCATTTCATATAGTTAATATCACACGAAGATTGCCGTTTTTTTCTCCAAAAGTCAGCATGATTACAAATGTGATACTGATTTTATACAACAGTTCAATAAACAAGAAGTTAATATTAAGAGACTTACGTTTTAGACACGATATTGTCTGTTTTTGCTCTATTTCTCCAACAAAAATCATTCCAAACACAGCCACAGTGTTGTTTTGCGTCTCTGAGCAACAGGACAGTGTTTCGTTACTGAATGAATCAACCGTTTAAATGATTTGGTTCAGTCGCAATGACTCACTTATTAACAGTGACTTGCTGCCACCTACTGGCAGTTATTTATGCATTTGTAACTGCAGGTTAAATGCATTCATGTCCCTCTGAGCTGCATTAAACAGTGTGTAAATGCATCTAGATGACACTTCTAATGCCGCTTCTGTGTTTCCTCTGCATTGCACAGATAAATTTTGTTGATACTGATTTCATTTGCTTGGTAACAGCTAGGGCTGTGCGATTTGGGGGAAAATATCAAATTGCGATTTTTTTTGACAGATATTGCGATTGATCAGTTTTACCACGATCAGTTTTACCAGGGATGAGCTGCTGAACATTCGGCAGAACACACCACACAATCTTCTACCGGATTTCGTTTATTCGGACGTTTCTTGCGGTGCGGAGCCGGGTGCGAGTATAAACGAGCATTACAAGATAGGCTGCGTGAGTGCGACAAGCGTGAACGGCTTGTCCGTGACGCGGGATTCGCACCACGTGGGGCGGAGAGGAGCG